ATAATTAAATATAAAATAAATATAAGAATGCAATAATAATAAGTAACAAACAAAAGAATAAAACCAATATAAGGACATTCTCCTTAGAGATCACCAGGTAAATTCTGTTCAAATTTATTGAACATTAGTAACAAATTTGCAGGAACAGGTGGAAGTAATAATTTATAAGTTATATAATTAATTAGTGTCTTCATCTTTAGCTCCCAAGAAAGCTCAAGCTCCTTAAAAAGTTCCAAAATCAGGAATCTTTCAAGCTTTACCTATAATTGAATAGACTCTATTTAAAAAATATTATGATCGAGGAGATCTTCCAATTGCAGTTAATTTTAGTGGAGCTGTCAGAAAGATCGTTTGGAAATGCGAACCTGAATGTTTAGATTATCATTTATATCTTCCAATCTTCTTTGAAGGACTGAGAGAAACTGAAGATCCTTACAAATTCTTAGCTGTCAATGGATGTGAAGAATTATTATAAAAAGGAGAAACTAAGATCTTATCAGTGTTACCACAATTAATCATTCCTATCAAAAGTACATTTAATAAATATAAATTCTTTAATAGAAGCCTTGGCAACAAAGAATCACGATATTATGTGCATTACCTTAAAGAAAATATAGAAATTAGTCAAAAGTGGATAAATGATAGGAGAAGCCTTAGTCCCTTATTATAGATAAATATTACCAGTTATGAATATGTATAAGAATAAAAGATGTATATTCAATTATCATTTATTTTAGTAAACATTGGAGACAAAATCGATTATTCACAAAGAAAAAATGAAAATCTCTCTGATCTTATACAAGAAACATTAGAAACACTTGAAAAAAATGGAGGAGAAGATGCATACATTAATATTAAATATATGATACCAACATATGAAAGTTGTATGTTTTGATCATATAATATTTTATATGCGATTTAATACAATATTAATTATAAATTATTTTATAAAAATTGGTTTAAAAGTTCTCATTAGTTGTTTTGTTTCAGATTTGAAACATTAAATTTATAAAAAATTTCTATGTTACGTTTTCTATTATTCAGAACTAATAAAGAATAATTTATTTCCCAAGAAAGAAAGCCTCAATTTAAAATACTAGGTATCAACTATTAAGGTACAATTTATTATTATTTATCATTTTAGAGACTTAAAGAAACCTAACTTTTAATTAATTTCTCTCAAATTATCAAATTTGAATGACAATTCATAGTACTTATAAAATAAGACTTCACTTTTCTTCTGGATACGTTTTAAATAATACTGACATTTTTACTTTTTATTTTTTAGAGATATAAAGCCAAAATGATTACTTAAAATTATAACCCTTAAATATAAAGCTAAGGGCATTTATTAAATTTCCTGATAAACTAAGTCTGAATATTATAGAAAATAGAATGTTGATCTAAAAATAATATATGGGAACTTGAAACTATGCTTTAATTTACCTTAGTGAATATTAATTAATTGAAAATAATTTTATATAAATTTTGCTATGAGTATATTTTCATTTATCTAGCAAATTCACAAATGGATTGAAAGCAACTAAGATAGATAATCCTTTCCATCATCTAATTTATCTAGGGCATCTTCTATAAGATCATTTCTGATATAGTTAATCATCTCATCTTGATCTTGACATCTCAAAATTTCAACTTATTACATTTTAAGTAATTAAATGATAACAGTCTACAAAATTGCTTTTTTTGTATTTATTTTATTTTACATTCTTTTTCAAACAAGAAAATATCAATAATCCGAAGTGCCAATTCCTTCCTGACAAGCTAAAACAAGGAAAATATATAGGAGTCAAAACAATCTTGTGGTTTGACTTTTAATTCTTACATTTTATAATAAATTAAAGGAACTTCAAACTAAATCCGCTTTTCAATAATTTCAAGAATTGTCATATCCATTAAAAAAACTATAAATAATAAGATATTGCAATACCCTTTCTATAGTTTTAGATATTTAAAATGTGGTTTAAAATAATAAAGCTTAGTTCCTCTTGTACTAATTGTTCTAGAATCGAAGATGCTATGAAATTCATCCCCTTTACATATTTAACTTCCTTATCTAAATTAGAATAAGCAATTAGAATCCTTTTTAATTTATCTAATTTCTCTTAATCAACTTTTTCCTGTTCTGAATTTTTATCCGATTAGCTTGAATCAGATGAACCAGAGAATCTTTTTGAACTGCCTTTTTATCGAAAACTTCCATTCAAATCTTTAAGTATGTATTGTTCTGATGGTGTTTCATATTACAGTTTTTAATATAAAACATTTTTGATTCTAGCTTTTTCAGTCAGCCAAAACCAAACTTGACATCTTAGATCTTGGGGAAAATTATGCCTCAAATTATAACTTAATTCAGAATAGCCTTAATCCTCTGAAGATCCTTTCATAATCTCTATCCATCGTTCCTTCGTAAACTTAGGGCATATTTCACTATTTCTTTGTTTTGGCTTTGATTTAGATCTATGGGGAGATTCACCCGTTTTTATTCTTTTTGCATTACAACACATTAACATATTATTTTAATTAACATAATATGCTTTTGTTAAAATTAGAATCAAATAGCAATACTCATAACATAAATACCCCTTAAAAGCGTTCTGAAAAATGTAGAAAAGAGAATAAAGAATAGTAAAACATGTTAGAATTATAAAAAAATGAGAATAATTCATTATTTATTTTTTGATAATTTTTGATATTGTTCTTTTGTATAGATTTAACTTTATACTTTTTTAGATTCTTTTTACTTTTAGTTAAAACCTTTATGAAACAAAGTGCTTTATATTAATTTGAGGAATACAAATCTTCTGATTTTCAATGTTTGTAACAGTAGAATTCATACAATGAACTAAATTTATTCCTTATTTATTTGGGATGGTTTCAAAACATCCAAATTACAATAAAAATGTTCTATACAAATTAAAAGATATGATTTCAATAAATTCTAAAATAAATCATGAATTCGACTTAAAAATTAAAAAACCATGAATTAGGTCTATTTAAAATCTTTTTTGGGATAACATTAAAGCTAGAGTGAATGAGGAAAAGAAAATCAATGAGATATTGGAATAATATGACAAATATCAAATGATAAAAGTAATTAAATGAATTCTAGATACTTTCAAAATGAAACAGTTTATAAAGAAAATAAATTATTTTAAACATTTAAATGTTTATATAACTTCAGAAAGTGGAGCAACACATAGAAATAATTTTATAAGAGCTGAATTTGATATCAATATTGCAACTATCTTTTTAATGATAATTTTAAGTTTCATTCCTTATAATTCCAATTTATACAGAAAAGAATAAAAGATCTTATTCATTAAGCCATTAATTTATAGATTATAGATCCTAATGATTTAGATGAGATTAAGAAAACCTCAGAGGTTTATTTGAAAAATATTGTTTTTTGAATTATTCTTTAATGTTTTATTTAAGAAAAACATCAAATGATAATAAAAACTATAAACATTATTTTTTGATTTCGTCATATAGGATTTTGATTAGATATTCATAAAACAGTAAATTATTTTTTTCGAATTCCTGAAAAGAATAGTTATTGTAAACAGAGATACTTATTATATAACCATTTTTTAATAAAGTAACAGGATCATTTTATTTTGAATTGACTATGCACATTAATGAGAAATGAGTTGATTCTCTAATATCAAACAGTTAAAAATAGAAATTACTAAACTCAGAATAAACAAAGGTTAAAGCATTATAATTATTAATAAAATTCAGTACTTAAACTTTTATTTAAAAAATCTTATGATAATTTAAATTATTTATTGATTGAACTTCAGT